AAGTATAAAGTTCAGTTAATATTGTATTAATATGGGTTCCTTAATCATGACAATATGCCCTAATAACATAGTAAGATGATAATAAAGGAAACTAGATATATTGTATATAATGAGAATACTAAGTACCAGCTTTGCAAATTTCCTAAATTTGAAACTATGTTCTACTAAGTTTATTAATAAAAGTTGAAAATAATTTTTAAATGAATACATTCTTCTACAAGGGAAACACATACATGAGCTACTGAAGAGCTACTCTGAAAAGCAATAATGTAAACCTAAATAATCTTTCCACTCCCAGCTTTTTAGTAAATTTCTTAAAATTGAGGAGTCTCCTTAGATATCCTTAGCCATACTTTAGATTGTTTATATAGAAAAAATACATATCTGCTTTTTATGATAGATGTATTATCTCCAATTATTTAAAATACTTCTAAACAAGGTGAAGTATGTTGTTCACTATTTTCTCTACTGTATCAAAATGAAATTCAAAATGAATTAATATATTAAAGTCAACTTTGGTGAAATGTTGTTTACTTCCTGTGTTGCCTTTCCTTTTGGAATCAACTTTCTGGTAAGGGCTTTAAGTGCATGTTAGGAGCCAAAAGCATGAATTATGGATGGGGGGAGGAAAGAGTAAGTGGGCTATTAGATATATGTCCCTATGGCACTCACCCTGGCCATTAGTCCTTAAATATTGTCACTTGTGTGAAATCTTTCTCCTTCATCTTTTAACATTTTTCAAAATGATGATTTCTAGGAATGCAGTTACTTTATAATACAGGCAATATATTATTTGGTTCAAAACAGCCTACAGCAATGTTCTCTTCAAAGCTCTCAGTTCTTAAAGATAACAGAATCTGGAAAAGATCCATATCAAGTTGTTGTCTCTTCTGATCAATAGAACTGTCACAGCTATGAAATATTAAGACAAGAATTAGCAAGGCAAGCAAATATTTAGAGCTACATCTACCTTGGCAAAAGAAACACAGTAGAGAGGCTCAAACACATTAAAAATCATTTTAGAAAGTGAGTTCTTGCCAACCAAAACAATCCTGGGCCACTGGGCCATTCTATCTACACAAATATTTCCATAGACGTTTTAGCTACCAGACAATTACAACTCAGGAGACAGAGACAAACAGGAGGCTATAGAGGCTGGGGGGTGAGCAATGCTAGACATAGGAGCATTTGCAAAAACATTAGGGTCCCCTGTTGTGTTCCAGAATAACCATTCACTAAAATACTCATTTTCATTTCAAATCTTTTTATCAACAGAACATACTTCACAATTTAAACATTTGAAACAAACATGTTAACTGTACATACTTGCCTCCTATCTAAATCAAAACGTAAAAGCAAAACTGAAAATTGAAAAGCAATGGAGAAATTCTCCCTCAGCAAGAAAGATGTTTTTGGAGCCTGCTGTTTAGAAAACAATCTCTTGGGCTATGCTTAGTTACTTGTTTCCAAAGAATATAGTATGAAAAAAGAAAAACTATTTTTACAATGGAGAAACCTTCAAACAGGTAATTAGGTCAACAGTGGTTAAGCCATTCTTGTGATATGCACCCTTGATATGATGTAGTATAAATGGCCTTTTTCCTCTCTAGCCTTCCTCTCAAAACCCAATAATCTCTTAATTCTGAAAAGTACATAAATTGCAACTTAGTATCATTCTACAATATGTCCATACACTTCTCACAGCTGCCAAAACCACCAAAATAAAGTCTGAGAAACTGTGACAAAAGAAGCTAAGGAGACATGGTGCCTAAATATAATATGGTATCCTGGATGAGGTCCTGATACGACAGGAAAACAGAGGAAGTTAAATCAACATGGACTTTATATTAAAAAAAATCAACATTGGTTCACTTAGTGTGACACATGTATATCACTTGTGCAAAGTTGTTGGTAATATAGAAAATGGTTGTTTTCTGTAAATCTAAAATATTTTAATTTTTTAACATTTAATATCTTTTCTTGGTTATCTCCCTTCCTCATTCTAGCCCTATGTTTCTAATCAAGTAGTGAGAAATCAACGAATGATTCTTGGATACCTGTTGTATGAAAAAGAAACATAATTGATTTTCTATGGGTCACCCAACAGTATCCAGGTTAAAAAAAAAAGTTTTTGTCAAAATAGTGCCTCTGAGTCAAAGATGAAGCAAATACAGAGTCAATCAAAAACAAAACCAAAAACCAAAAACCAGGGTATGTGACCATTAACAGTGCAGCCAACACATCAGCAATAACAGCTTCATGGTGTAGCACAGATCTGGTACTTCTACACAGCCAAGAATATATAAACATGCAAACTCTGTGAATGTTTTACTTCTTAAGATATAAAGCCAGGGGCTGGGAAGGTGGTCAGTGGTAGAGTGCTTGCCTTGTATGCATGAGACCCTGGGTTCAATTCCTCAGCACCACATAAGCAAAAAGAAAAAAAAAGCCAGAAATGGCGCTGTGGCTCAAGTGGTAGAGTGCTAGCCTTGAACTGAAGAGCTGAGGGACAGTGCCCAGGTTCAGAGCTCAGGCCCCATGACCGGCAAAAATTTTAAAAAATAATAATAAATTTTTTTAAAAAGGCAAGTCGTTATGTCGAAAAACGAACTTTACAACGTTGGGAAGGGGAAACAAAGCAGGAGGCTACAATGCTTGATAAGAAATGTGCTCATCGAGGTAAGCCAAGAGCGAAGAGACAAACGGTACATGGTCTCCCTGACAAGTGGATGCTAAATCCAAAATGTTAGGTGATACGACAAAACTAACAGGATGTAAGAAACAAAGAACTCCCACTCATCTGGTTAAACCACTACTAAATATCCCCATACTGCTGATCACATGTATGGTGTATAACATGTGAACACGGTTATATGTTACAGACTGACAATTTGCTCCAGGAAAGTTCGAATGAACTTGTGACTTTAAATGAGCATCATTATTCCACAATACTGTGAAATTCCGGAAATTATGTAATCACTTAATCACAACCAAAAAAAAAAGAACATCGGGGAAGGTAGGGAGGGAGGGGATGGTAGGGGGAAAACAATGGAGGGGGTAACAATGTTCAAGAGGAAGTGCACTCATTACCTCACTCATGTAACTGTAACCCTCTGTATAGTATCTTTACAATAAAAAAAAAAAAAGAAATGTGCTCATTATCTTACCCACGTAATTGTAACCCTCTGTACAGTATTTTCACAATAAAAATATATTTTAAAATTTTAATTAATTAATTAATTTAAAAAGGCCTAAGGGTTTGGGTTTGAGCCTCGGGACTGAAAAAAAAAAATTAAAAAAAAAAAAGATATAAAGCCAGAAACTATACTATCCTAAGTTGTAAGAAAAACATCATTTTGTCTTTGAATAAGAAACCATTTTGTTTGTGTGCAGGTCTTGGGGCTTGAACTCAAGGCCTGTACACTTGTCCTAGAGTTTTTCCACTAAAGATTAATGCTCTAACAATTAAGCCAAATACTGAGAATTGTATTTTCAATAAATCCTGGGTGTACAATTTTGGTCTTCTGTAAACATTCCAACAATAAGTAAACATTCCAACAATAAGTGATCTAATGTAAGGACCTAAATAAAATCCCAAACCAGATTTACAAGGCAACAAAGTATTTTTGAGCATTAATTCCAGTGCCCCATTTAGCGAATAAAAACATACATGCCCATTTAGAGCCTGCTGTAGAGAAGCAGCTAAGATCTTGTTCCATGATTTGATTTATTATAAATTATAACTGCAGAAAGAACTACATTAAGAGAAGAACAAGGTGTTATGAGACCTCATGAGATTGAGTGGTCAAGGGTAAGTGGAGGAAAGACTTTCCTTAACCAAATGTTCTTTGAGTATAGTTCAGAAGTAGTAGAATAGTCTCCAGCGAGTATGCCATATAGTGGGAACAAGTACCGTGAGAACAGCATGCAGTAACTGCAGAGTGGAGCCTTGAGGGAGGTCAGCATGACTGCAGTCTACGAGGTCAGAAGTACTACATAGGCAGGCAGGGTTTATCAGGCAGTCAGGAGTTTGAATCTTACTCTCAAAGTGTGAAGGGACCCACTAAGGATTTTTAGTATGACTTAAGAAGAAGCATTAAAACACACACACACACACACACACACACACACACACACACACACACACACACACACACACACACACACACACACACACACACACACACACACACACAAAATCATCCCAGCCAGGCTCCAGTGGCTCACGCCTGTAATCCTAGCTACTCATAACGCTGAGATCTGAGGATCATGGTTCAAAGCCAGCCCAAGCAGGAAAGTCCATGAGAATCTTATCTCCAATGAACCACCAGAAAACCAAAGGTGGTGCTGTGGCTCAAAGTGGTAAAGTGCTAGCCTTGAGCAAAAGGAACCCAGGGACAGTGCCCAGGCCCAGAGTTCAAGCACCAGGAATGGCAAAAAAAAAAAAAAAAAAGAATTATCCAAAATAATTCATAGTAATGGATTATGATTGGATATTAAATATATTCAGGAGATACAATCTTTGGAGTTTGGTAAATTGGTAAGAGAAAAAATATTCAAAGCTAACTTCCAGGGTTCTATAAAATGCTGTCAAGTAATGCTTTCATGGTCTGACTTAAAATTTACCCTGAGATAACATGAAGAAAAAGAAAAAGAACTTTATTTGTGCCTGAGAAAAGACTAGGCTTAAAGAAAAAAAGAAACTTAAAATAGCAGGGTAACATATCAAATACTTCTCTTTTCCAAGAATGGAAAATTCCCTTTGAGAGCATGATATATGAAGCTCAAAGTTAACATATTGTCTTCCTTCACAATTGTGAAAGCAAAGATGACACTCATTTTGGCCCTTTCTCTCTGACTCTTACTTTTCAGCTTTGTAATGGCATTTATCACTTTCTGTCTTGTATTTTCATCATATATAGATCTTACCTCTCTAAACTGTAAGTTCTCTAATAAAACATAATTATTAGTATAAAAAAATGAGCAGTTTGAATCGCGGTGCGATGACAGAGTAGGTGTTCGAGGCCTCACCATGTGTCCGACTAGCCTTTTCTCTGCCTTGCTTGCGTGAGCTTCAGCAGAATTCGAGATGGCTGGTCGTAAGGCTGGGAAGGACTCCGGAAAGGCCAAGACAAAGGTGGTTTCCCGCTCACAGAGAGCCGGCTTGCAGTTCCCAGTTGGCAGTATTCATCGACATCTGAAATCTAGGACAACCAGCCATGGACGTGTGGGAGCGACTGCCGCGGTGTACAGCGCAGCCATCCTGGAGTATCTCATCGCTGAGGTACTTGAATTGGCAGGAAATGCATCAAAAGATTTAAAGGCAGGGCTGGGAAGGTGGCTCAGTGGTTGAGCGCTTGCCTTGCATGCATGAGGCCCTGGGTTCGATTCCTCAGCACCACATATACAGAAAAAAAAGGTGGAAGTGGTGCTGTGGCTCAAGTGGTAGAGTGCTAGCCTTGAGGTGAAGAGCTGAGGGACAGTGCCCAGGCCCGAAGTTCAGACCCACAGCTGGACCAAAAAAAGATTTAAAGGTAAAGCATATTACCCCTCGTCACTTGCAACTTGCTATTCGTGGAGATGAAGAATTGGACTTTCTCATCAAGGCTACAATTGCTGGTAGTGGTGTTATCCCCCACATCCACAAGTCTCTTATTGGGAAGAAAGGACAACAGAAGATTGTCTAAAGGATGCCTGGATTCCTTGTTATCTCAGAACTCTAAATACTCTTAACAGCTGTCCAGTGTTGGTGATTCCAGTGAAAAAACACAATTTTGCCTTTTTGTAATTCTATTTGAGCAGGTTGAAAGTTTAATTAGCTTTCCAACCAACCAAATTTCTGCATTCGAGTCTTAACCATATTTAAGTGTTACTGTGGCTTCAAAGAAGCTATTGATTCTGAAGTAGTGGGTTTTGATTGAGTTAACTGTTTTTGAAAAACTGTTTGGATTTTAATTGTGATGCAGAAGTTATAGTAACAACATTTGGTTTTGTACAGACATTATTTCCACTCTAGCGGATAAGCTCAACAAAACTCATATACCAAAGTAAAAAAAATAAAAAAATAATAAATGAGTACCCAGCTGGGTGCTGGTGGCTCATACCTATAATCCTAGCTACTTAGGAAGTTGAGATCTGAGGATCATGGTTCAAACCCAGCCTGGACAGGAAAGTCTGTGAGACTCTTATCTCCAATTCACCACCAGAAAACTGGAAGTGGCACTGTAGCTCAAGCAGTAGAGCGCTAGCCTTGAGGTTAAGAGCTCAGGGACAGCACCCAAGCCCAGAATTCAAGCCCCATTACCAACAACAACAACAACAACAAAAATGAGTACCCAAAGATAAGGCAGGTTTCAGTGGCTTTGTAATCCTAGACAGGAAGCTGAGATCTGGAGGATCGTTGTCCAGAACCAACCTAAGCAGAAGAATCCTCAAGATTCCTTTTCCAACTAACCAGGAAAAGCAAGATGGGCAGTATGATTCAAGTTGTAAAGCACTAGCAAAGACAAGCATGTGCAAAGCCCTGAGTTCAAACCTTGCTACTAGCAAAAGGAGAGAGAAAAAGAGAGGGAGAGAAAGACCCCAAAAGTAATCCACGTACTCCAACCCAGGGGTAGGGTGCTAGAGGTAGGAAAAGACATTAAAGAAAAATAGGCAGAAAATTATTGCACATATCTTTAGAAGAATAAGAGTCTTTAAAATATGCTTATGTATATTATGTTAAAATATATTTAAAGAAGAATTCAAATAGAATTAAGGAAAATAGCAAGGAGCTATAAAATAGTAATGAACATGTGGATAATCAAGGGCATCCTTAAAACCGTGTTGACAGGGCTGGAAGCATGGCTGAAATGGCGGAATGACTTCAAATCCCAGGATCTCTACAAATAAATAAATAAGTTCTGGGGCTGGGAAGGTGGCTCAGTGGTAGAGCGCATGCCTTGCATGCCAGAGGCCCTGGGTTCGATTCCTCAGCACCACATAAGCAAAAAGGAAAAAGCCGGAAGTGGCGCTGTGGCTCAAGTGGTAGAGCGCTAGCCTTGAGCTGAAGAGCTGAGGGACAGCGCCCAGGCCCAGAGTTCAGGCCCCATGACCAGACCCCCCCAAAAAATAAAAATAAATATATAAATAAATAAGTTGGTATAACCTCACTGAAAATGACTAAAATTAGCTACAGTTCTTTAGCAGATTCAGACCAAAACTAATTTCTAACACTGAAATCTATGTACTCCCATCATACTCATAAAAATCACAGATATGTAACAGTGTGAAATGTGTGCTGCATAAAGGTTTTAGTAATTTCCTTCTTTGAGAAGTATTCTTATCAACTTTAAATAGCCAAGACAAAAACTCAAGTCTAAAATATTGTATGGATGCATTCTTTGTGTAAAGTAGGGTTTTTTACTGCTTGCTGTGAGTGACACTATGGTGTAATGGTGGCTTTCCACTAACTAAGCACTCTTAGAGATGGTATAAGATTCAGAAATGTAAAACTACCCTGCATTGGGATAGGCTTTATTCCAAACTGGACTGGCATTTCTTAGAAGACTTTATTTGGGGTTTTGTCCAAATAACAGATCAGGAGGCTTTCTTTTGTCACCCTATGAAAACCTGCAACCTCCATCCTATACATTTTCTATCTTCTTTCCCTATTTGATTTTTCCCTTTATCATACAACACTAGGACTTCCACACAATGTTACACTTATTGATCTTGCTGGATGTTATACTTTATTTAGATTGCGTTCTGACCGTCTACAAACTCTTTCTCTCATCCATTCTCTGTGTTTCTCTCTGTTCATGGTTAGTGTTCTACCATTTGAGCCATGTCTCCTACACTTCCCTGTCTTCTGACAAGGGAGGGCCATATGACTAACATTTCCCCAAAGGCATATATGCAATATGATCTCTCATCCCTTTGCTAAACTTTCCTAAAGAAGCTTACCTAGATTCATTTCCTTCTTACTGGCTAGAACCTGAAAGCTAGATTCCCAAGACAGGTCTTACCACAGCCTGGAACCCTGGATAAATGCATGGATAGAGGCTGCCAATTTGCTCAAAATTACTGTTCTGAATTATCAGAGAAATAAACACTACATATTTCTGTCCACTGGAGTTTGTTACATCAGTTTACCCTTTAAGAAACTACCATTGGGGGCTGGGAAAGTGGCTTAGTGGTAGAGCGCTTGCCTTGCATGCCTGAGGCCCTGGGTTCAATTCCTCAGCACCTTGAGCTGAAGAGCTGAGGGACAGCACCCAGGCCCAGAGTTCAGGCCCCACGACCAGACCCAAAAACAAAAAGAAAAAAAGAAAGAAACTACCTTTGGACACATTAGCAAGCAAGGTAAATGAGGGAAGAGATTTTGGTTTTACTTACCAGTGCATCCTTATGAACTCAGTAAGTACAAATTAATGAAACACGATTCTGTTATTACACCCTCAATATCAGCAAATCAATTTTAAGTTGACTTAAGAAGATCCAACCAAGAGTACTCTACAAGGTGCTATATCACATTCACTGCCATGCCTCCCTCCTCTACAGTATGTGCACTTCAGCCACATTAACCTTCTTGTAGTTTCTCCAATATGCCTGGGTCTGGCCCAACTCAAGGCCTTTGTGTAAGCTGCTCTAGTATCTACTCCCAACTTCCTTTGCAGGAGGAGTACCTCACCCCTTCATCTCTCCACTTAAATGTCATCTGATCAGATAGAACTTTCAGGCCACCCTATCCAAAACAAATTCTCTATATCCGTTTCTATATACTATTTTTATGTCTCTTGTTTCATTCAAAACGTTGATGAAAATGAGTGTTTGTGGCATATGAGTTTTTAAATTGTAAGTTAAATTACAAAGTCTGTAACAATATGAACGACCCTTGTTTTTATTCACTCCCTCAGACCCCTCTGCTTAGCATAGTACCTTGTCAAATCATAAAAAGCTAATAAAGGAGCCAGACGTCATAACATATGTCTGTAATCCCAGTTATTCAGATAACAGGAGGATTGTGGTTTGAGGCCAGTCTAGACAAAAAGTAGCAGGACCTTACCTCAAAAACAACCCCAGTCTGGTGGCATATACTATAATCTCAGTTCTTTGGGAGGCAGATGTATGAGGATAGTGGTCTAAAGCTAACCCAGAAAAAAAGTAAGATGATCTATCTGAAAAACAAAATAAAGCACAAAACAAAAGGACTGGGGCAGGCTCAAGTGGTAGAATCTTTACCTAACAAGTATGATCCCTGCATTCAATCCTACTACTGTTTAAAAAAAAAAAACACTGAAATCTCTGAAAACATACTTACATATCCTAAATCTACTTCAAATCACAATGGCAAAGACTAAAAGGTTGTTGTGGAACATTTAGTTCAACCCTTGTGATTTCAAGATCTGAAAACTTAGGCTAAAAAATACATTAACAAACTTTAAAATGCTTAGAAAAGGGAAACAGGAAACTAGCTTTTCAACTTTGGCACAGGAAAAGACTGCTTAAACAAAATATATAAAGTATTACCAGAAAGAGTCCCAAAAGTTTAACTAAATTAAAATTAAAAACTTGTTCATGAAAAAAAATCAAAAAAGTTCAGTAAGGAGGCTGAGATCTGAAGGTCACGGTTCAAATCCAGCCCAGGCAGTAAAGTCCCTAGACTCTAATTAACCATTAGGAAACCGGAAGTGGTACTGTGACTCAAAGTAGTAGAGGACTAGCCTTAAGCAAAAAGAAGCTCAGAGATAGCGCCTAGGCCCTGAGTTCAAGCTCCATGACCAAAAAGAAAAAAGCTCAGTACAGGCTAGGGATGTAGCTAGGTGATAGCGTACTTACCTAGTATATACAAGGAGTGGCGCTGTGGCTCAAGTGGTAGAGCGCTCGCCTTGAGCTGAAGAGCACAGGGACAGCGCCCAAGCCCAGAGTTCAAGCCCCACAACCGACAAAAAAAAAAAAAAAGAATCTAGTATATACAAGGGCCTGGATTCCATCTCAACACAGCCAAAACACACAAAACACACACACACACACACACACACACACACACACACACACACACACACACACAAACTGCAATAAGTTAGGGAATATATTTGGATATTTGAAGCACATATAAATAATAAACGACTAGGGGCTGGGAAGGTGGCTCAGTGGTAGAGCGCTTACCTTGCATGCATGAGGCCCTGGGTTCAATTCCTCAGCACCACATAAGCAAAAAGAAAAAAGCCGGAAGTGGTGCTGTGGCTCAAGTGGTAGAGCGCTAGCCTTGAGCTGAAGAGCTGAGGGACAGCGCCCAGGCCCAGAGTTCAGGCCCCACGACGGACCAAAAAACAAAAAACAAAAAAAAAACAAACCAAATAATAAACAACTAGTGTTCTGAGTACAAAATGGACAAGTTAATATAAGAAAGGTATCAATGTAAGGAAACAGACACAGGAGAACTGTGGTTTGAGGCCAGACTGGGCAAAAGTTAGCAAAACTCTAAGGGTGCCGTGGTTCACACCTGTAATACTAGCAATTCAGAAGACTGATGTCTGAAGATTGTGGTTTGTAGCTAGCCTAAGCAGGAAAGTCTGAGACTCTTGTCTCCAGTGAACCACTAAAAATAACCAGCAAGAAGTGGAGCTGTGGCTTAAGTGGTAGAATACTACCCTTGAGTGAAAAAACTTAGAGGCAAAGTCCAAGCCGTAAGTTCAAGTCCCAGGACACACACACACACACACACACACACACACACACACAAGTCCCAGGACACACACACACACACTCACACACACACACACACACACACACACATACACACACACACACACACACACACAGCCTAGCCTGGAGGCACATGCCTATAAGGTGGCAGATATATAAGGATACTAATGTAATGTTATTCCAATCCAGAAACACCCTTGAGACAAATCCAGAATAATGTGGAAATAGTGACAAGACTAAAAAAG